TGAGCTGACAGGGACAAAAGGGAGTCAAGTATAGAAGAGGAGCATCAGGTGGAGGTTTGGTCTCTACTCTCACATGACAAACAAGACAAGAGGAAATGGACTCAGGTTGGACAGGGAAGGATTAGATTGGGTATRAGGAAAATGATTTGACTGCAAGGGTGATCAGGATGGGATCAGGCTGCCCAGGGCAGAGGTGGAGAAGGCAGTGTTGGTGGCAGTGGGGACGCTGAGCATGGCAGCACTGAGGTAACTGTTAACTCTGTAATCTGAGAGGCATTTCCAACCTTAACCATCCTGTGATTCCATGAATTTACTGTGCTCTTGTACTCTGAGAGCACTTGCAGAGTCYCCACAGCTTTGGCAAAGCCCTGAACAGCCTCAGTGGCCCAAGGCAGCCTCCCTGGAGCCCCAGGGAGCTGCAGCCTGACAGCCCAGCACCGTCTCTGTCTGGGGCAATTCCCTTCTCTCTCCACTGCCATCCCCTGGATTTCTCCATCTCTGCTGGCTGCTCTTGGCTGCTGCTCAGCATCATCACTGGGACACCACCAAGATGATCTTACCCTGCCCTGAGCCTGCAGTTTCATCCTTCTGTCACCTCGTGGCTTAGCAGGACGCGAGGATTCCCAGGCCAGCTCTGGACATTCAAACTCTTCAGAAACTCCAACTATTACAAGAATTTCACTCCTGGGGCAGGAATGTATTAAAGCAGGACTAAAAATAATCTAAGTGCCTGCAAACCCTCTTGGAAGAGAGGGAAAGAAACCAGCAAATCTGGTCTACATTCCTTTTTTAACTTGGAGCTCTTTAATCCAATAACAGAAAACAAAGGAATCTCAGACTCCTCTTAGAGCCATGCTAGAGGGAGCACAGATCTATTTCTGKCTTTGAAAGTCATTCAGCAAAGGCACAAAATCTCTCCAGCCACACTGCTCTGCTCGTCCCAAAATCAATGAAAATGATATTTGATGCTTATGTAGGTTTCACTAATAGTTCTTACACTCAAATATGAAGTATTTGTCAGTGTTGTTGTCCACCTCTATTTTTTTTTTCCTTTTTTTTTGGCTGACCGTTAAGGGGGGTTGTTTAGTGACTTTCCTGTGAGATCTTATTATAATTTTTGCTCTTTTCCTATCCATATCTCTAGATGGTACCTAGGTCTTAGGCTGGGGAATTTGGCTATGTTTTTGTTGACTGAAAAGAAGACAGAAAATTATTTCTACCAAAACAATTCCWTTGTGCGTGGCACAGAACATTTCTTTTTAAAGTCCTGCCTCCCATTACCCTGGGCAGCGTTTGAGATGTGCCAGGGCTGTGCTGTGCTGTGTTTGGTGCTGCTCCCCTGCCCAGATGGTGCCAGCAGAGGTGACTCACTGTGCTGTCCCTCACTGTGCTTTGGTGACAATGACAGCGCTTGGGGCACTGTTCCCCTCCTGCCTGGACCACAGAACCTTGAAATGGGGCTGAGTCACCGTGCCAGATCCCTGCGCTCTCCCGACCCACTTATTTTCCTGTCACTTTTGTGGCGTGTTTAGAAAATCTTCCGCTCGTGCTGTTTATTCATGATGAGATTTGGGTTTTTGGCTGTTTTTTGGCTCATAGGTTGTGAGGGTATAGCTTGAAACACAGAGAGAAAAGAATAATGTGTGCTTGTGTGATATCTGTGAGCAAACAGAGGCTGTTCTGCAATAAACCATCAGGAAKGAGAAAAGCAGAATTACAGAATGGGTGTCAGGAACCCATGAAAGCCCCCTGGGAATTSAGCCCTTGGTCACTGCAATCACTCCAGAACGGATCTGGGCTCCCAGCAGAAGAAATGTTTTACCACACTCATAACTCATGTGTTCAGGATCCCTGGGCAGACATTTAAAGCTCAGCTCTGGAGGAGAAGTTGCCACATTGCAGCTGCTGACTGCTCCACTGGTGTTTGTTCTACAGCGTGGACAGAGATTTCACAGGGACTGGAAAGGACATGCCCTCCCTTCCAGGGAGCACAGGGACTGCCACAAGGATTCTGGATGAGTGGACAAGAGGCTGTGGCACTTCCCCTCCTCTTGCATTGAGGGATTTCAGTTCTAGGAGAGAATGGGCTGCAAAATGAAGTTCAGAGTTTTTTCTCCAGCTTCTCTGCTGGTTAGGGGATCCAAATGAGTTTTTTCTTCTCTACTCTGCAGATTGCTGCTCTCTTTAAGATTTCCTAAAACTCATTTAACTTCTGGAAAAGGTCTGATAGTAATCCAAATATGCTCTCAGTCCAACTCTGCTGACCATTCAGTTCCCAAACAAGAAATACTCTGGCAGTTGTTTTTGGGTTTTTCTCTGAGCAGCATTAATTTCTTCTGGGACTCCTGTAGCTGCTCACATCCAAAATCCAGAGCACAGTGGGGAAAAGAGAGGAAGGTTCCTAGTGCCAGTACAGATTGAAGGGCCTTCCAAGAGCTTTTCCTTCCCTGTAGTTTTTCTTCCCTTTTCTTCAAGGGCAACAAGGCAACTCTTGCCCAGGACAGCACCTGCAGCCCTGTGTTCATTTGCTAGCAGATGTGGGATTTGCTTTATAGTTACAGCAACCACAGATCCTGCTTTCAGAGTCAGATGGATGAAGCCTTGGCATGGCCCCATATATCCCTTGGCCTTCCCTTTAGACATTTAACCTTTTTATTTTTTTTTAAATTACTTTTTTCCTAATCAGCACAGTGGAGTGGATGGAACACAAAGGCTGTTTGGCACAGATGGAAGGAAAGATGTTCCCTGTGCTTGAGGGGATTGGTGCAGATGGTGGGTTCAGTTTGTGTCCATCAGCACTGCTGCCACTCTGCAGGGCTCATCTGATGAGTGATCTTTGGAATTCGTGTGCTCACAGAGCTGTTAACAACCTAAAGTGCTTTGGCCATGTATTTCCTGYTCTCCTGTGAGTAACAAGTTTAGATTTCAGGAAAAAGAGATACTGAAAATATCCATGGAGTAGCAGCTACATGCTCTGCAGTGAAATTARAAACCAGCCAAAATAATGGGGAGGAAGTGCAACAGAATTTGCAGCATGAGGGCAGTACCTTTGCCACAAAAGAGGCACAGGGGCTGTAGGGACTGCTGAACATGAATGATCTTGCTCACTTGGACTATACCCAATGATATTTTAAATTCCTGAAAATCCTCAGAGAAGAGCAGTGCCATGAGCTTTTTGGAGTTCCTTAGCGAGGGCAGGGAGCCAAACTGATACAGTAAAGTATTTTAATTAGTGTATTTCAGAGCTTCTCAGAATGGAGCCAAATCTACTCAATCAGGAAAAAAAAGATCCCCTCTCTATCACAGAGATCTCTTTTGTAGAAACTCRCTGTTCTCTTCACTAGCTGAGTGTGGCCCAATATAATCTGAATACAGCAGTTCATTTCTTGCCAAGAAAGTGTCATCTTTGTTAACCATGGTCATCTTACTCCAGTGTATTAACACGACACCCAAACTGCACAAACATTGAATAGAAAAGGAGCTGTGAGACTTGCTCATATCCCAGCACATTTTGAATATCGACTCTCCCGGGAGGACAGCATTTATGATGAATTGATAAAAGTAATTTCAGTACCATTTAGCATGATGGATCTCAAGAGTAAAGCAGGCTTTGCTTGTGATGAGCATGAATAAAATGGGGAGCCTAAGTATGAGTGTTAATCAGGAAAAACATCTCTGCTTCCAAGTGTCCTAAACACACACAGTAATGAACCACACACTCGTCCTGAGGCAAACGTGCTGATCTTCCCAACAAAACTAAGTTTTACCAGGCAGATGGGCAGTGAGAGAGCAGATCCCAGCAGAGCTGATGGGCACACAAACAAGGAAAAGAGGTCAGCAAGGAGGATCATGAAGAAAGGTGTTTCATGGTGGTATTTTGGGATGAGAGGGGTAAAAAGCACAGTGAGAGTCGCAAAACAGGCAAGACAGAGTTAAGCAAAGCAGCAATAATAAAAGRATCAACATGTTTCACTAACAAGAGTGAAGCAGCTGAAGGACAGCTCCCTGCAGAGACCAGCGCTCCTTGCAGAGGCAGCAGCGAAAATAAAAGCTCTTGGGTTGTGATTAAAGTCTGATTTGTGCCAGAAACACCAACTTGTTCCACTCCTCACTTAATTCAGTAATTTGGCTGCCTTATCCTTTGGGGGCTCAGTCTCAGGTACACACACACTCCAATCCCTCAGCCTTCCTCTCCTGAAACATTCCTGAAACACTCCTGAAACATTCCTGAAACATCCTCTCCTGTGGCACCCGCTGCTCTGGTGGCCCTTCAGCCACCCTCGGGTGCTCAGGCAGCACCAATCCAATCCAAACCATGACAAAAGGAGCTCAGAGATCCCTGGGCAAGGAGAGTTGGTGAGATCCAAGCTGAGAATGCCCCGTTAATCACAGAGGTTGGGCTCTGTGGTCTGCAGGACGTGCTTTCCAAATGGAAGCCCCAGATGCAGCCCTTGGAGCCAACACTGAGCCCTGGCTGCTGCTGGGGCTGACACTGAAAAATAAATGAAACCTGTGCCAGGAAGCCAATGCTGAAGGCTGCTCCTTTCCAGGGGAATAATTCAGTGTGGCAGCCCTCAGGAGAAACAGCACTTTCAATGAGAACTGGAGGTGCAGTTTCTGCTAATGCTACTTTTTTTTTAAGCTGTGTTCTGTGTGTTAGCATTAATGGACTTCTGCACATATCCAGGATTTGAAGGGTTCAGCATCAACCATGGAGAACATTCACACAAGACCTCAAAAATAGATAAATGCCAAATTATGACAATTTCCAGCAGGGCTGGACTATCAGTGWGGTCACAAGGAAAGCTGAAATATAAACCTGATCCCTGGCTGTGCCCAGCAATGCAGCACCTTCACCACCTGCTGCCCCTCCCAGGCTCTCTGTTGCTGTCAMCCTTCTCTTCCCCAGTGAAAATTCGTGGATTCAGATGAGATTTGGCCAATCCCATCAGCCCAGGGTGGAGTTTGCGTGTCTGACCAAGCTTTTTCTGTTTCTGCAGGATGGATGACATCCAGCTGTGCAAAGACATTATGAACCTTAAGCAGGAGCTGCAGAGTTTGGTAGCAATCCCAGGTAATGGCTGTCTCCATCCATCCCAGGACAATTCTTGTGTTCCTGACACCATCCCACCAGTGCATCACCCCCTGTGCYCCAGCAATCACAATCTCCTCCTCCCAATGCTAAGTTTCATAGCTCTTTCCTCTAGTCCTTGTTTTTAATTCCAACTTTCCTGCCCATCTTTAATCTCCAGGTCTCTAAATAGTTTTTCGTGCTGTGTTTCACTGCTCCCATGGCAGCAACCCTGTGAATATCACTCAAACAAGGAGCACATTCCTGATTTCTGGCACTCCCTTGGCAATCTCGAGGGAAGCAAGTGGCACAGAGATTGTCAGGAAGAAGAGATGAGTGCTGAGGTACCAGAGATAAAAGAGGGGAAGGAGAGGGATTTATAACCATCACCATGAATGTGATTGATGTTTTTCTTTTTCCTGCTACACCAATCTGTTGTTACACCTGTAGTTAAATGTGCCTTCTAGAATCAGGAAGAACAGGTTTCTGCAAGAAAGCAAGGGCCAAAATCTGCCTTGTGTTTTGCATAAATCTCTGTAAATTCTCTGTTTGAAGGAGGGACAGAGCTGTGGGCAGCCCTGCAGTCCTTGGCTCAAACTCCAGCTGCCATCAGCRAGGAATTTCGCTTCACTGCAGCTTTGCCATGTTGGGTGATCCACAACAGCCCTACCCTGTTCAAGAAAAAAACAGAGACCGATACTGCAAAACACTCAGCAACAGCAGCAGGCCCTTTACACCACGTTACYGCACAGCCTCCAGCACCCTGCAGAAATAATTTGCTCCTGCCYATCTATTAAAGCCAAGTTTTGACTAATATCCTTTGGTTATTCTTGTTTTCCCTCCTCACATTTTATTGTGCAACTCTGAAAGACAACTTCACCCTCAAAAAGGAGAGAGAAGGTCACTCTTGACTTAGGAAAGAGATCTCAAGAGCTCTGAAGCCACCCACTCAATGTAGAGGTCTYGAAATCTTCATAGCAGTGAARGACCAYTCTTCCAAAAGATAAACTACTGAAAATATATCCCAAGAAATGYACCTTATATTACATTACAAATTATTTCCTCTGCTACTGGCAGACCATAATTTATAATTCTTCAAGGAGTATGACTTTGAAATTCTGTCAGTCTSAACCTCATTGTCTTAAAAACATATTCAAAGTGCTTTTTTGTCACTTACTCAGAAATGAATTCAATGCAGAAATTCCCAGCAGTAAACGTCCTGAAGCCAAAGATCCAAATTAACCTGTTCTCAACAATTGTTTTCAAGTGTCTGATTSATTGAGCAGTTTGAAGTGTTTGGTATCTGAAATCAGCAGTGACACAGCTCAGAGCATCAGACTGCAGGCAGCTCCCTCCTCTTGCCCAGCTCTCAYTGCACCGAGTTGTGTCGTTCTCCAAACACAGCTCCACTGCTCAAAACCAAAATTCTTCAWTTAACACAAAATGTCCTCATAGCTAATCAAAATTTTCAGCTTCTCAGAGAAACACATGAGYGTGGATTTGCCTCTGGCTCTCTCATCCCTGCTGCACTTGCTGGGTTCGAAGGGTTCTGTCTTGAATGTATTTGCTTTGTAGCCTGAAACGCCAGCTCTGTAATCCCCAACATTTATGGTTTGTGGCAAACTCAYCTTTCATGTCACAAAAACTGTTGTTTATAGACAACCTAACCATTCCAGCCAATTAACAAGCACATATATTAATTACTCCRATTTTTGGAGCACAGGGAAAACAACCTTTCATTTCTTTTTCCACATAGCAATTGATGCTATTTGTGAGGATTTGCAGCTTACCTGCCTTGTCAGAGTAGAAAAAAAAAAGTTGTTTTCAGCAGCCAAAGCTGTCTCAAAACACAGAGAAACAGCTTCTTTTGGGGTGATCTCCTTTCCCCCAAGGTCAAGTGGAGTTTGTACATTGGATTTGAACAAARCATCTCGAACTATTCTCTTGACAGAGCTCTTAAAAAAATTCCAAGCAATGTTTTGCAGGGTAATTGAGTATTAAAAGYAGGCTTAGCAAACTCCACAGAGCCTTCAGACCATTAAGCTGATCAGAGTCAACAGCAGCAAGAGGAGGGAGCAGAGAGGCAGTGACCTGGCTCGCTGGGGTTTTGGTGACTCAGGGCTGAAAAACCATTGAGTTCAATCATCAGTTGATTCTTAGACATTTGCAGTGTCCTACACCACCCCCTCACRCTCCCTAGAGTCCAAACTCATACACTCTTTTCTCTGTTTTTGACCAGAAAAAGAAAAAACAAAGATGGAGAAACAAAGAGAGGATGAACTGATTCAGAAGATTCATCGGCTGGTACAAAAAAGAGATTTTCTTGTAGATGATGCAGAGGTGGAGAGATTACGGTGAGAACTGAGAGCAACTGAACTTTCCTGTGACATTCCACAAGGCTAATAATGCAATAGATTAAGTGACAAAGTTTGAATCAACATTAATGGGAGAGAACTGGTCCAAAGTTAAAAGCCTCCTTCCTGTTCCATAGGAGAGACATTAAAATTATATTACTGTAATTCTGTGGCTCTTTATCCCCATAATGATTTGTTCATCTCATGAATACAGTGAGCTTTGATCTCTTATTTTTCTACCCAAATGTCTGGGCATTTAATAATGAAAAGAAGAGGATTTCTGTTGCTACCAGGGAATCCTCTTGGCATAAGGAGTAGACATGGAATGGAATTGTACAAGGGGCATATTTGTAGATAGCTAAAGCCCTCCTTTTTAAATTATTCATGTGGTCAGGGTGGTTACTACTATTCCCACCTTGTCATAGCAAAAAAACCACAACAACAACAGAAAAAACCCCAGACCAAATAAAAAACACACAAGAATACAGCCCTAACTTAACTCGTTAGAAAGTTCCAAGAAAGTTATCTTCCTCCAAAGTTCACTTCCAGCACCCAAATCCAATCTTTTGTTTGAGATCAACACTCCACAAAGAGTCAGTTTTGCCCTTACTTCCCCCTCTCTTTCAGCAGCAGACTCAATCCATTTATCCAAAATGACAATATCTCCTCCCACACACTGAAATTCTGAGCAAGCACRGAGAGGATAAAGCAAAGCTTTTGCCAGAGTCCTGCAGCTGATCAAAGAGAGCTGGCCAAAGGCAGCAGCTGACAAGCAGCCTGAGCTGGAATTGAACCCAGAGCTCTCACTGAGCCCCATGTGCAAATCGCAAAAGCCTCAGCAGCAGTTTTCAGTTTTAGGCAAATATTTTCATTTTTAATATGCAGCAAAATCAAATGTTTCTAAAAATAGCAAAGAAATTAATTGTTTATTAGTGAATTTAATTGTTTATTAGTTGAGTTGATCCTAGCTGCTCTAGCTTTTACTGTCCCGTTTACAGAGTAAACTATCATTGCTCTAACATTTATTTTCCTTCTTTCCACCAGGGAAAAAGAAGAAGACAGAGAGATGGCCGAGTTCCTTCGCACCAAGTTAAAACCCATAGACAAATCAACACAGTCTCCTACCAGTGAGTTCCTAATCATTAAGAAAAAAAAACCAAAAGAATTAAGAAAAACTCCAAAGACAACTGATTAAAAGAGCATTTTCAAAGGCCAGCCTCTGGCAAAAGCTAGGTGAAGCTAGCTAGATCACTCAGAAACAGCACAGTGTGTCAGCAACTKCTGCCCACTGAGACTTCAGATACCAGATTACCCCGTAAAACTTAAACTAAGTCACCTGGGGCCCCCTGAAAATTGCATTATATATTTTAAATATGCAAAGTATATTTGTACACACAGTGCCACAACTTACTTTTGTAAGCAGTTAGATTTTTGTTAATCATTTTCCTACCTGGTTCTGCAAAAATAACTGAAAAAAACCTCTTCAGATCCACACCTGGTTATCTGAAACAAAGTTCACTGTTTTACTGCAGTCATGATGAAATCTAGAGAAAAGACTGCAAACTTCCAGAGCTGACCCAAATTTCTCACATATTACCAACAGAAATAGGTTCAATCACCCCAATCCAAATCACTTGTAGASAGAATGGCAAACATGCTGGTCTCTGAGAGACTAAGTGGATTGCATGAGCCCTTGGAAGCTTTTAGCTGCAACTTTCAAACAGAACAGTCACAGCAGGAGCTCTRGAAGTTCACAGATTGATTTTGCCTTGTCTCAAGATCAGCTCTTAGGCAAAGTCAAGTGAGAGCAGTGCCCTTCTTAGAAAGGGACTTTGTTCCACCCACCAGCTGAAGAGGTTTCTATCAAACATTCTGCCATCTTGCACAGATCAAGACCTTGCTCAAGAGCTCCCAGAAGGGCTGGAATGACTGTGAAGTTCAAGCACAAGGTTAAAAAGAGACATTTTAAGATGCATCACTAATTATTTATACCCCCTTAGTCACAGGGARCATGACTCATCTCCTGTGTTAGTTTACTTTGGCATTGCTTTTTCAYGCAGTTTTAGAGACAAAAAGATTCTTCTCACCGTGAAAAATGGAAACCTACCTTTGTTTTGTTCTGTAATTAACACATCCAAGTTGTAATAAGAGAATAAATTCTAGCAATAGTTAGTTAAACACAATGAGAGGACTTCATAAAAGGAGCCATTATCTGACCCTATTTCTGTGAAAAGGACACCCGGCTTGAATGAGATGCAAGTTTACCCTCCCTTGGATATGGATGGATTCTTTAGCCCCTCTTAACACTTTCCCCTGAAGAGATAAATGACTTCCTGAGCAGTTTCAAACTATGTATCAACTTGGTCACCACACAAGTGTGTTGTTAAAACCAGAGCTGAAAAATTCAGGGTGGGTGGAGAGAGAGCAGGGAAGGTTTTTACCCTTTAAACCAGAAGCAGGAGGAAATTGTTTGAGTGGCTTTTGGTTCTAATGGTGTCCTGTTTTGAATTGCAGGCAGCCCAGCAGAAAAGAAGGCAGAACCTCCTCCAAGCAAGCCCACCATCGCCAAGGCAGGGCTGGCAATTATTAAAGATTGTTGTGGGGCCACGCAGTGCAGCATCATGTAGAGCTCTGGGCTTTCCACCCTGCTTGTGTTCTCAGTGTTTTCATGGAGGGGGACTGGATGGTGAGGGGAACCAACAGCATCCTGCTGAGGGAGTGGAGAGCACCTGGCACGAGTGTAATCTACAGACTGGACAAGGGCAGGGTCTTCACTGTTGCATGGATCACTCTACACGCATGCCTAAAAACAAAAGAAATCTATATAGTGGCTGTCCAGGGACCAGAAGAGATGGCAGCAGARTCAACAAAAAACACCCCGTGATACAGGTGAATCCAAAGGGGCTACATTTTATCCAGTGTGGTGTAAAACAGTAATTTTAATAGGCTATCACTATATCATGTTGTATACCTTTCCCCCCAAGACAAATTGCACTCAAAAATTGCCAAACTATCCTATTTTGGCTACTTTTCATACCAAAAGCCACAAGTAGCAATGCTGTAYATAGCACAACTGATAGAGGAAGCAACTGCAGGATAACTGATGTTGCGTATAAAATACCAAACTTGTGTGATGTTCAACTACTTTGCTGTGGAGTTTCAGTTCWAATTCTTCCTAAAGAATGAGATCAGCGACAGGGATGCTGCAAGTAGCTACAGATTTTTATATCCCATGTGATTTCCAAATTACTCAAGGCAAATTAATATTGCTTGCACCAGGGGAAATAAATCTCTGGCAGAGTTTTAGCAAAGCACAGCTACAGTAATGTGCAAATAGATGATGCAGTCCAAGGTTGTGTCACTTCTGTTTTAGATCTCCACCTCCTATGAAGTCAGAGAAATATTCACCCAGGGTTTTGCCCATTTTTACAAGCTACATGCAGTAGATTACACATCACTGGGAGATTGCTGGGAAAAGAATAGAAGACAAACAARATGTAATTAATATTTAAACAATGCTTAAAAGAAGTATTAATTGTATATTTTGTGACCATAAGAAATACAAACTATCATGCATAGGAAGACACWAGTCACCCAAGACAAACTGGCCACAAGACAAATACACAAATACACAAGTAGATATTTGTGGCTGGAAGATCAAATTTGATACAAAATGGGTTTTAAATTAAGGGAAATACAGAAATACTTGTCTGTGTTTCACCATTAAGTGTGTTTCTGGTCTCTATGCAGATTAAGCGTTGTGGAATCGAATATCTTTATATTAGCTGTCAGTAGCTGGTTTGTCTGTGTGATGGTATTCCATATAAATGTACTGTGATAGGTGTAAATAGTAAAATAAACRTACATGGATCTAGTGTGACAATCTCAGGCTTAGAAATAACAAAAGATAGCAAAAAGTTCCTAAAGTAAAGAGGAACTTCAATTTTGTGAAGCCAGCTAAGTGAAGTGTGTGCTTATATACYAAGGAACCACAGGATAGGAAAGGAGAAAAAATGAACAGCAGTTACCCCCAAAAGATAAACAGTTATTTTTTTAGAGAGAAAAATTATCTTACTGAGGTTGAAGGCAATAGATACCATCTAAAGTAACTCAGACTATTCTTACACAAATAAAACCCAATCCCTAACACAGACTGATTTGATGAAAAACACTTGCATTTCCAGAGTAATTTCAGTAYTGCCGACTCACTTGAGACAAAGAACCAACATCACTAAGAACCTTCCTTTTTAAGGATCAAAGAGTAAAAACCACAAAAGGTTTCCACTAAGACATGAAGCACTTTAATTACTTTGACCAAAGATGCAGGAAAGAGAACAAAGGGTGACTGTCATATGCAGTTTTTGCATCCTTGTTGAGACCTACAACATTTTAAGCTCTGTAGCTGTGACACTCTACTGTGYCTGGTGTGGGCTGGACTCTGCCTGGCACCAGTGCACATTAAGAGTTTTGGGGAAAACTGCTTTTAGGGGAAAGAACACGCACTGGAGGGAAAGAAACAACCCTTGGCTTCTGTGAAATTCCACAGCCTTTTGCTGGTTCCCAGTGAAGGCATCAGGACTTGTCAGTAACTTAAAAGGCAGATGTTCAGTGTCACTAATAAAGGCAGATGGAAGGCAGGGAAAAAGCTGTAGTGAARCACCAAACTTCAAGCTTAGCAGGACCACAGCCAAGTGCTGTGAATGCCTCTAAGAGTCCACCTGGTTTTAGGCCCAAGGTGACTTCTGCACATTGCTGGTTAAGCCAGGCTGAGCTGATGATTGGGGTGATCCCTACAGGCTGCAAAGAATCAAGTCACTTGGGAATAAAGTGAAATGAGTACAAGTAGTTTGCATGGAAAAAATTTCATTAGCAAGAAACAGAGTTAGACATTCCTGGGAAGAAACACTCCTGACCAGGCTACAGAGCCACCTCCTTTAATTAAAACCAAGAAGAAACACAGCAASTAGGGATGTGCAATATTCATACAGCTAAGCACTGGGAGCCAGTGCCCCAAAAGGACTTGAATTCCAGCAGTGTTAATGAGAGTGAACTTCATTTTCAGAAGTTTGAGCTTGGCTCAGCTGGAAGGTTTTCTGTATGCCAGATTTTGTTTTTAATTAGCAAATGCTTAATTTCTGTGTTTATTTGGGTGKGTTTGAACAGCCTGCCAGCAGTGCACCAGTGGTTCCTTCAGAAGTGGGTCAGTGATGCTGCTTAGCAATAAAGTCCTGGATTTTTCAGACTGTAAGGTCAAATTCTCAACTGTGTTCAACACTGGTTTGCAGTGTTGCYTATCTAGAACACAGCAGAGCCCTTATGGCTGATATCAAAGCTAACAGCTGTAATTAAACAAATTAAACTTGGGAAGGAGTTAAATGTAAAAATCTTAATGCTTATTTTTAAAACCCAAACTAAATCACTGAATATCCCAAGAACAACCGGGGGCTTTGTAACACACGATACAATCCCCATCTATCAAATCAGCAGAGCATCAGACAAGTGTCTTTAGGTGACTATATGGAGTAACTGGCATCATTTCAGAGTTGATTTTCAGATATCAGTCACTGTCTGCAAAGAGGGACATTGATTGACTGAAGCACCCAATATYTCTTCTGGAAATCCTGGCTGTTTATCACTTCAGAAAGAAGGCAAAGCATTGGGAAAGGAAGAATGTGTGGAAGAGTGTGAAGGGTGGGTTTGACACACATCCTGTAAACATGACTATGTTCAGGAAAGGATCTTGGTCTACTGAGAAAAACAAAAGTGCTGAAGTGCTATTTGTACAAATCACCAATTCCACCAGCAAATGGTTCTCTTGTACCTTCCCCTAGGCCTACTGAATCTCTTCCAAGTTCAACATATTTCCAAATAAACTAAGCTGCTGTGTTATACTAAGCATTTGTTTCTTCCTGTTACTGWAGGAAAAGGGGTTGTGGAGTGGAGTGGGATGAGCTCACTGTGCTGCTACACTTTTCAAAAACAATCAGGYTACTRTTCGGCAAGAAAAGAAAAATACGTAGGTAAGTTAGAGATAAGTTAGAGATGCTACTGAAATGAAGGATTTTCTCATAGAAAAAGAAACAAAACCCACCAAAAAAGTTGATCTCATTATGCTCCTAGATGACTTTGGAGCCTCACTACAGCCCAGAGCACTGCCCAGATCTGTAGTTCCCAGCCCTACAGTGAGAATAAGGGTCCCAACATACCTGAGTATCAAAAGAATTGCCAAGCCAGAAGGGCAGTYGTGTTATTTAAACAAACAAAATCCCACTCCAACCCAGCATAAATGCTACCAYTGTAATCAAAGTGCATCTTGTTCCACTTAATCCCATCCATCCCATAAACAGCCAGGAAATCAGGCTGCTTTCAAACAGGATCATACAAAAAAAACCTACTTCAAGTCCAAAACTTATTCCTCCTTCCATGTGGATACAACATTTGACACAGGATCCTGAGAACATCTCAGAGCCGAGCCTGGATCCTGGCAGCCTTGGCAACAATTTGGTCTCAGAGCTGAGATGAATAAGGTGGTGTCTCACAGCTCACCCCTCACATTTAAGCTTGGTTTCTGTGCAGCATTAGTTTCTTAATGAGAGGCAGTTTTCTGCACCAACACTTCATGGGAGGCTGAACTAGGTAAGACACCAGGAGAATTTAAACTGATACTTAAAAATAAATCTCATCAGTTACAGAGATCAGTGGATTTTAACAGGCTTGATCACAAAACCAGGGGAGATGACTGCAGCTCATATCAAGTTTCTTGCAGCTGATTACATCATCCCATCTACATCAACAGAAGAGTCTGTTGATGTTTTTTTCCCTTCATCACACAAAACAGCTCTTCTGGCAGGATGCAATTTTTCACTTTTGAATTCARTAACTGAAAGACTGACTTGAAACTTGAGCCACGGCATGACATCAAACAGTGCTTTGACAGCCATGTCCAAAAAATCCTCAAATAACATCCTGAACTGGCATTTCAGAAATTTCTTGTAAAATAGCATTCTGTATTCAGAGSAATCTGCTTTCTGTAGCACACATACAGCACTAGGCACCATTTAATTAACCACTTGAATTAGGATTTTTTTCTATCTTTATCCACCTAAGTAATGCTACACAAAAAATAGTCATACAAGAAGGAATACTGCATTTAAAGCAACACTTGCTAGAAAAATGCTATTAATAGGAACGAAACCATAGCTCACCACACAGCTAGTCTGTCCTGTTACATTATGGCAGGCAAAACAAGCCATATTAATTTTAGAAAGAAATGAAAGTTATTTCCATCATGACTTTTTTACTAACTTAACACAGATGGCTTAGGATAAAATAAGAAAGAAAGAAGTGGGAATGTTTGCAGCACAATACCAAAGCAGCATTTAAAATCAAACTCATCTTTTGAAGGTAATCATRTAGCAGGTGCTGAGGGATTTTCCTCCATTTACTTAAAAACATTCACAACTACTGAAAAATGAAATTAGAGTGGTGATTACAGGGTTTGTGGTACTGCTGTAGGAAGTTTTTACAAACTGTCTGTTCCTCCTTTCAAAAAGGGATATTCATTTTTTTCAAGAGGCATATTTATTACAGTTTATGGAGAGTTTTTAGGTAGTTACTTTTAAATTGTTGACTGAACTCMGTAAGGTCAAGGGGTTGCTTATCTGCAGCCAGCCTGACATTTGCTCCAGCAGACTCCACAGTTAAGGGAGGATGTCACAAAACAAAAACCAAAAAACAAACCAACCAACCCCCTCAAAAAAAAAAAAAAAAAAAGAGCAAGTCAGGAGCATGTTAAGATTCTGAATTTCAAAACATTCCAGTGAAAGAAACCTGCCAGATATGTAGTTCCTGGAAAATTGCCATTTTCAGCAYRCTAGAAAACAAAGCTATTATAACTCTAAACTGACTAATTAACTTTATTAATGTTCACATAATGTTATTTAAAACTACTTTAGCATCTCAAAGGGAGACACTGAGGAGGAACACCTGACATCCAGCTGCTGAATTTACACTCCTTTCTCCATTTTTCTCTTCAGGCTCATAAATAGTACAATCCTTTTCAAAATAAACCCTACACATCACGTTGTAGGAAAAGCAGTTTGAGACACTGAGCACATCTGAAAACAGCTCAATCACAAAAACTAGGAAAAGCCTCATTCTCCAGAATTTAYGGTGTTTCTTTGGTCTTCACTAAACCCCAAATTTTAGTTCTCTCTTCTGTCTCAAGAATTAAATTTAACATGACACAGCAAGCTGAGTGCTCTAGGGCAGGTTGGGTTTTTTTTTTCCAGACAAGGACAAGAGTTATGCTTGCTTGAAAATTTTATTGACAACTGTTTGGTCCCAACACACAAAACAGCACTTGAGCCACAAAAGAAAGTGTCCAAATAAAGTAGACAGCTAAGAAAAGAAGTCTTTCTTCTCTCTCCCATTCCAAGAAAAAAAAATAGTGCATAAATTGAGGGCTTCAGTGACATTTTTTTTCTTTTAAACRAACATGAATCTGAAGTAGTACACTTATTTGCTAAATTAAAGAATTTCATGGTTGCAATGCTTTTAAATCTGTAAGTCACATCATTCATTTAACCCTTTSGATAAAAAAATATATTGCAATTCAATTAGCTATTTTGTTACACTATGAACACAACTTCTCAAAAGTATTATTCTATTACTTTCAAACAGCAATTTCAGCAGAATCACACATGAATCCAGATAAGATATGCTGACCTCCACCTGTGGTATAACCACCACACTTACTTGGATAAATACCATATTTTCCTCTGAAGCAAAAACCTGGTTTTCTTTAATACTCCAAATGACTTGTAGCTGCATCTCATGAAAATACAATTTCAGGCTGCTCTCTTCTCCAATGCATRCTCTTCTGAAAGAAAGATCTAGACTGATCACTGTCAACCTTATCAAAGTTAAGGTGAAAGCAGATTTTCTTGCATTTAACTCATTAAAAACATTCCAAGAAAGCTTACTTCTAAATTTCTTTTTCTATAGCAGTATGTCTGTAGAGGTTTACTATGGACTCAAGATAGTGTGCCATAATGCTCAGAAAAACTTCCCAGTGTTTCTTTGCACTTACAATGGCTATAAACTCACTACTGGTACTACTTGCCTAAATATAAAAGATTTTATAACAAAATCTGACTAGTAAAATTCTGTCTATAGCCATTATTCAGTGGCATTTCCTGCTGCTGGCTGAAAAATTAGAGCCTGTGTTCCAACTCTTGCATATTACAATAGAATCCATCTAAAAAAAAAAAATCAGTTGGCCAGTGGAAAACTTCTAGTATAGGTTCTTTCAATACTACAAGCAATTGATTTGCTGCCTGGCAAATACAACCCATTGTAAATGCCATGGTTACCCAGAATGGGTATAAAGTCTCACACACTGGACAGTTCTGCTAACTAGAGTTAAGGTCATCCACTGACATAGCCTCTCTCCCAAAGCTGGCCCTTGCAAAAGCCAACACAAGATACCACAAATTCAAAAAGCTTCCAACACTAGGAGTAAGTCTTAGAATAAAAACAGACACAGCTAAAAGACAGTGCAAGAAGGACGAGCTTCCCATTTACTGAACGTGCTTAAAAATAGAAAACAAGGTTAAGAAGAACAACCTTAGCATTTCCACATGTAGCTAGAACTTTCCTTACAGGTGGAAATAGCATCGATCCCTTCCGTCACAAACCATTTAAACAACACCTGCTCCATTATCTGTAATTTATGCATCAAATGCATATTTCAGAAATATCAGAATCTTCCTAACTTCACTCTAGACACAATGAAAATGTGTGTGTCTGTATCTCGAACTAATGACATCAAGACAGTCTTTCCCTTAACCAAACCCATGCCAAACTAAATATAAGWGGGAAGCTTAAAGCATCAGTGTCCTAGAAAGCTCCTAAATGGAACTGAAAGCTATAGCAAAAAAAAAAAAAATTTAAAACAGACCCCATAATTTTCTACAGACACCTTTAGACAAGAATTTCCAATGCAGTTACAAGTCATCTGAAAGGTCAGAGAACAAGTTTCTCCTCTGGAGGACAATCAGCTCCCCTCACTCTTGTCATTTCAGGTCAGCGAGTTAAAATTTCTCAACAGGCTTTTGAAAGACAAATCATGCATTTCATTAATACTGTCTGAAACAATACCAGTAAGCAACAGCCTATAGAATACAATATGCTACATGTATGATTACATCACCAACAAGGCTTGAAGAAAATAAAATCTGTTCCATTTCTGTTGAATTAATATTTTGCTTTTACTGAACACATTTATGAAAAACTGTAAAATTCAAGAATAATTTAACAAATGCCAGATWTTTTTTCAAAATAATAGAAAAAAATCTGCTCTGCTAACAGCTGTGTTCAGTGTAAGAGGAACAAAATTTTCACAGAAYACATTAAATACAAATTATTCACCTAGATTTTTCATTAAAATACACATGGGCTAGCAAACAGCTTTACTTTGTGCACAGTCCATAGGTATTTGTCTTTCACACTAAAAAGAAAGAGTTAAAGCTTGGTTACAGGTGCAAGTGAGAAGTTTGCTGCCAATTTGACCTTGTTTTTGTGTTGCTTTTTGGCTGGGCTGTCGGTTGCTTCTTTGTTTACTTGGGTTTCAGAGGACTGACAGGGAGGCACTGAAGCATTCTCTGTGGTGTCAGGTACCACAGAACCAGAGATCAACTTTTCTTGAGCTGTGGTAACAATTCTTTGTTTTTCTTCTTCCGTTAAAATCATTATCTCTAAAATAAATAAGACAGTTTACTGATKCTCTGCTCTTGTAAAAAGGAACATTTCTCTTATATTAAGCAATAAAATACTTGAAAAGAACTCATCAGCCTGATTTGAAGCAAGACAGGAAGCAGACTCTTACCTGGGAGGGGTGCAGGT